ACCACCATGTATTACAGCAGTCATTGATATTTTCCTACTAATCTATCCATAACTCTGTAATGTTTGTATTGTTCCTATCCTATTTCATAAATGGATGCATGTTTATTATTATGTGTTTCCTACAACAACCATTGAGACTAGTTAATGATTATTCAATAGGTCACTCATGTATAGTTCTATTTATTTTCTTTTGAAGATACCTGAGTACAACAACTATTGATAATCTCCTACCTCTTTTGTTTGTAACTCACTATTATTTGTCTATTTGTTTTCCTGAGAAACTATCTTGTAGATAGCAATATGTAAAACAATAACCATTGGTAATTTCCTACCACTTTGTCTGTAATTTGGTAAGCCTCCCCCCATTATTGTTATCCTTCTCTTACTCTTTAAAATAAAAAAAAAATAAAAAATAAATAAATGAATGGATAAACAGGTCATATTAGTTGTTTTTTTTGTTGCTGTAACAGAACACTTGAAGCTGGGTCCTTTACACAGTAAAAGAGGTCAATTTAGCTCATGGTTCTGGAGATTCAACAGCATGGTATTAGCATCTGCCTGGCTCTAGTGGGGACCTTATGGCTACAGCACAATGATATCATAATGGGAGCACAAGAGGGTGTGATCACATGACAAGATAAAAGCCAGAGTAATTCAGGTGTCAGGTTCATTCTTTTTATAACAAGGTACTCTTGTAGAACTAATTAGGGTCCTCTGAGTGTGCTCGCTCTCTCGCTCTCTCTCTCTCTCTCTCTCTCTCTCTCTCTCTCTCTCTCTCCCCCTCTCCCTCTCTCTCCCCTCCTTCCCTTGCCCCACAAGTCAGTGCTTGGGATCTCAAAGATCTCAAACCCAAGGCCTCACACATGCAAGTCAAGCCCTCTACCACTGAGCTACCTTGGCAACCCCTATGTTAATCTCTTCCTAGGGTGGTGCCCCCAGTGACCTAATCACTTCCCACTAGGCCCTACCTATTAAAGATTCTGCCACATCAACACCACCACACTGGGGACAAAGCTCCCAGCAAGTGAGTCTTTAAGGGACAAAATATATCCAAACCACAGCATAGGTGAAAAGATAGAGCAGGAACCATTTGAAAAACCCAAACCAGAAAGAGTTAAAGTGGTAACCCTTACAAAATGGAACTACAGGTAAGTAGGGATAGCTGTTTTTCATTGTAAGTCCTTTGGTACTATTTAGTTTTTATCTACATGAATGCATCTTTTTGATAAACATTGTAATGTTAATTTGGGGGGGTTAGTTGGTTGGTTTATTTTTTGAGACAGGATCTCATTCTGCAGTTCAGGCTGGCCTTAAGTTCACTATGTAGCTCAGGCTGGACTCAAATTCACCAAGATCCTCCCACCTCAGCCTACTGAGTGCTGGGATTATGGGCATGTGCCACCACGCCAAGTTCTAATGTTAAATTTTTTAAAGGGTTTTTACAGAACAAAAAAAGATGAATTTGTGAAGCTTTATATTAGTTGGTATCCATAAGTGGAATTTTTCTCCCTTCTAGGAGATATTCACCAATGTCTAAAGTCATTTTTGGTTGACATAACTTCCATGGTATGCTCTTGATACCAGTCACACTGCTAAACATCTCACATCATACAGGACAGCTCCCTGCAACAAAGAATTATTTAGCTCAGAATGTCAATAAGGGTGACGCTGAGGAATCCTGTTTTATATAAATATGTAGACAATAGATCCATAATTTATTAAGGAAAGGCATAGTAAATAGGGTCACCCTATGAGAAGAACATAATGTAGAAAACCTACCATTCTACCCCACAATCCATTCTTGGAGGTTAGAGAAAAGTCCTGAATTGAGTGATAGTTCCAATGGTAGTAGTAGGAATGTAGGAGCCATAGTAAATGTAGAAAGACCTACTAACTTCTGATCCACATATGAACCTTCACTACGCACAAGTGCAATGGGCCATTCACCCCATATTGCCCCGCTCATTTCATTGCCTGTTCTTGCCGGTCTAATTCATCCCGTCTCTTCATGAATCAACACTGAATACTACCTTCTTCTCTTTATCTTAAACCCCAACCACAAGACTTCTCTCAGATCACAATCCATGCTGGAATGTGTTCTCCACATTTCTGAGTCAGGGTTCATCCTTCTGTCATTCACACGGCACCTCTCTGATGAAATCTTCTCTCCAACTCCTAAGAAAAAAGTAAACAATTTTTCATCATTTCCGTCTTGCATAAAACATGACCCCTCTCCTTTATTCAACAACCTACTGAATCTATTAATTTTTTTACTTATACATTAAGTAATTACTAAATGTCCATATCTGCTAGGTGTGTTGACTGCCACGTGTTTATGATATATATGTGTCTGTGTTAGAGTTTTGTCCAGCTAGAAATAGTTTAGACAAATGGGAGGGATGTGTGAAGGAGGAAGGGCAGTCACTATTCCATGCTACTCCTCAGAACATTAGTTTTTACCTCAAAGAGCAACAGTTTCATGCTGCCAGGTACGGACAACTTGCGAGGGAAGGGGAAATATCCCATGCCAGAACTAGTATACTGAAATATCTGAAGAAGGAAACACATGAAATTCATAACAGCAGTCAACTTCAGAGGAAGAAACTAGAGACTTGAAAGTGAAGGAGAAAAACAAACCTAATTTTTAGTGTATATCCTTTCATAATTTTAGGATTTTGCTCCATGTGCATATATTAATTACACAAAACAATGATTTTTATATCAATATACTATACAAAACTATACATTTGTGTCTTTAACCAAATCTCTACGTGACTACGATTAAAATAATTGTATATCTGGCCCAGTGCAATGGTTCATGCCTATAGGACCAACTATTTGGGAGGCTGAAGCAAGAAGATTCCTGGAGCCCACAAGTTTGAGGCCAGCCTGGGCAACAGAGCAAGATATTCTCTCTCTCTCCCTCCCTCTTTCTCTCTCTCTCTCTCTCTCTCTCTCTCTCTCTCT